TATTTTGGAAGATTATGAGGCAAAACCAACTGAAATTGTCATTGTATTCCAGTGAGATGTCTAACTCTTACAAGACTCTTTGGGAACAATCACTACACATGTTGAGGTATGTAAACGAACAAGTATAAGATAGACCACTGAAACTTGGAAGACGAGCGTTCTTAACTATGAAAACATTTTATATCAAAAGCAGCTTTTCTGTTTGTATTTCTAAAATTACAATAGATTAACTCTACCATCCTTTCCTATAACGAAGATATGCTTCTGAAACTTACTTTGCTATATTGATCCAAATTTTCATTTAAAAAGCACAGGGCATTTTTTATAACCTGGTATTGTTAACTATAACTATACACATTACTTATAGTAGTTTGCAATATAGAAAAAAGGGTAATGATTTTGATAGTTGCTCCTTTTTCTGTCAAACTGAATTATTTCTGTCTTTATACTCATTATAATTATGTATTTCATTTTCAGGTATTTTAAAAATGTGTTTGCTGAATTCTAGCATTAAAAACAATGCATGGGTGCTTTGTATCCTTCCTGACACATATCAGTGAATTCACAAATTACATATGAATTCATAGTTCTGAATGCATATTCCAATGTGAACATTTTTACAAATGCACTACCCTTCTTACTTTGCCTACATTTGCTTTCCTGTAAATTCCCACCTTTCATCTCTCATAGTGATGCAGTTTTAGTTAAGACTTAAATGCTATAAACAATTGCTCCTGCTTTCAGTAGACACAGCAGAGTCTTTCACCCCAGAAATTTATGCATCTATGTTTTGTTGGAGCTCTAGTAGCATAGTGCTTAAGGCACCTGACTGCTAACCAGAAGTCTGGTGGTTCAAACTCACCAGCCACTCCTTGGAAGGAAGATGGGGCAATCTACTTCCGTAGTAATACTGCTTCGGAAACCCAAGGAGGGGTCACTATGAGTCGGGTCCGACTCGACGGCACATAACAACAACATAACAACATGTTACTTCCATTACATAGATTACACAGAAGAAAAAAAGTATAAAAGAATAGCTAAGAGAGACAGCTAGCAAGAGCAGCTGCTACAATCCAGGTGAATTGAACAAGGCAATCAGTCCAAGACACTTTCTGGAGTCTGGTGATATTGACAAGTTCTTTGGATCACCGTGAATATTTGGATGAGGTAGTAGAACAAAAGAGAAGTACTGTATACCTTTTCAATTCATTTAAAATTCAGCATCAGAAATACTAAGAAGAAACTTCAGCAATGTGAAGCCTTCTTTGAAGAGAAACTAAGCATAGTATTTCTAAAGTTTTTTAAGATTCAAATCCCTGAAATCTGTTTAAGGAGTCATGGAACCATAGAGATAAAACTGACCTTAAAAATCCATCTTTTATGTTTTAATTACTTCATTTGTCCACAGATGAGGAAAACTAAGGCCAAAAGAATGAGAGTGTTGATATTATGCCAATGGAGTCTTCACCTAGACTGGTAGTTTTCTACTACTCCTTGCCATCCAAAACACATAAACATAAATAATATACATGTTTTTATTTTCTTTTGTTACCTTTCTTTCTCTGTCAATAGCAAAATCTGAAAGTTACAGTTCAGAGTAAGGGTGTATATATATATATATATATATATATATATATATATATATATATATACATACACATGCACACAGAGAAAGAAGAATATTAAACCAGTGATTTGAAGGTGATTTAGATTTTTCATTGTTAGAAACTTACCTGTTGATATTAGTAGAACTTAGAAGAATTACTCACCCCCTCTGGATCTGAATTACCTCATCTATACAGTGATAGCATTCAAGTTTATTTATATAATTTTCTACCTCTATAACTGTCTACAGATACACATTTTCTAAAACATTATATTTCTGTATATAATATGCATATCTTTTATATTTCTTTTTAAGGGAAAAAAGCTATATCCTATTATCAAAATAGTCTACAAAGAAAAAGTGAATTGCTGAGCACTCCTGAAATAGATATGAAAAACTTTTTCCTTAATGCATATCCTACTACTTAACAGACAAAAGATGAAGAATAATGGCTTATCAATTAAGACATTCAAAAGAAATGTGAAAATATGAGTGGTTTACTACCTGATTACTTTTTTGAAGAGAGAAGTATTTTTCCACTATTGTTCATTGACCTTAAAAATGATTTGATATTGATGTTACAAGATAAAGAGTAAGATGATCAAAATCTCACTGATCTCCAGAGAGTGGAATATTGTCTTTGTGTTCTTTAACTGAGATAACTTACCATAAAAAGACTTATTAGTCGCTATTTGAAAATTTAATCAAAACTACCAAGGAGGATTTCAAAAATATCAACACACTTTATTATTAGTTATGTGTTAAATAAGCCATTGATTTTTATGTTCTTCTATCTTACTAAGACAGTAAAAGATAAGGTAACTAGAAATTTAAATTTCTTTAAAAAAAAAAAAACTGGCATAACTACATAGCTATATGCATGACAAAGTTATTTGCTCAAGCACCAGACTTTCAAATTCAAATAAAAAAAAAGTGAGAAACTAAAATCATGAATTTTCTTGAAGATCAATCCAAGTGATAACGATAAGTATACCATTGAATCTTTTATGCTTTCTTAGAATGTTTAAAAACATACAAATAAGCTACTGTTATGCTTACTTGTATTTTTTTAAACATTCTAAGAAAGGATAAAAAGTGCAATGATAGATTTTAATGATAATATCTAATCCTAGCAAAACTGACCATCTTTGAAGGCACAATTGACATTTTCTCTTAAAGTAGTTCCTCAAAATATTTAAGAAAATAATACTTCTGAATTGTTTCTTATTCTCCATCAATTAAATTATATTCTTCTATTTTTGAATCACACAGTAAAAAAAAAAAAAAAAACTCAAGAAAGAATAATATTGATTCTAAAATTAACCAAACTTATTCTTGATATTGAAAGGAGTTAAAAAAAAAATCTGCAAAACTTCCTGAAACTTAGTATCTCAGGTTCATTAAACAGAGCATAATATCAAAATAACTGGTACAGAGCACCCTATTAGTATTAGGCAACTGTCTATCAGGCAAGCTGTCGAGCTCTCACCTTCTTGACAGTATCTAGTAGTCTGTGTCTGGAAATTCATTTATTTCCTCTCTCTGCTTTTAGTGCCACAAATTGCATAGGTTACAATGGTTCTTTTGATGGGCATTTTTGTTATAGAGCATAGCTAGTAGAAAAGTGGTTATACAAAGAACAATGTAAACAAATTCATTGTGGTAGTTTTTAAAGAAATTCTCTTCTCTTTTCAAATTGTAGTCTCTAAAACAATGTGACTGATATAGTTATGGCTTTAATATTGCCTTCCATCCGTTGTGTTATCTTCATTTCTTTATCTTCCACTACTTTTCCAAGGAAGGTGGATATTTTAGCACATCTTTGATGTCAATTCAAATTTATTGATAAGCAGGTACTCACAAGATAGTCACAAAAAAAAAAAAAAAAAAAAATCCTTGTATTTTTCCTCTGATCTCATTCTGGTCCCTATAAACATTATACATGATGAAAACTGAGAGTTGAGAAGGAAAATCATAGTTATTTCTTATTAATGAACATCTTGTGCTTCCTACTACATATATAAAAATATATATATGTATATTATATATTTTTCAAATTCTATTTTATTATTATTTGGCTGATTCTTTCCTTAATTCTAACATTAATTTAGAAATATTTTAAATGAATGTATAGAAAACTTTCTAATACATTAATTATTTAAAACCCCAAATTCCAGAATAGATCTGATTTTGAGATGTAAATACTAGGATTCTTGTTCCAATCTGATAGCTTCCAATGATGTTTACCAATTAAAATTAAAATCCAATCATATTATTATAAACATTCTTTGCAAAAAGAGATTTCATTTAAAATATTTCTGTTCATTTCATATAAAATATTTTTTCACTCTTCCAAATTAGTAAGGACAATATATCATTATATCAATTCTCTAAGTGACAGAAGAAAACATAAGTAAGTTTCAGCACCAGCTAGTACTAATGGTGAAAACCATGTCATGATAATGTTTATCCATATATCTGCACATACAACAGTAGATAACAATATCTTTCTCAGACATTTATGTCTATTTCCCTTACCTTACCTCTTCAATGTTTGCCTTTAAAAGATATTCTTGCCAAACTTGACTACATTTAACAATGTACCTCCCTTTCTTCTGTCAAATTCTCTTGAAATTTTAAATGAAGCAATCCCTTTGTTTAGCCACATAATTTTATAATTGTTACATACGATCTAAATGCATTTTATCAATAAAACATAAAAAGAGATTAGCAACAAGCCATTTCATAAAGTGGGACTGCTTTAGCAATAATGGGACTAAAAACTGAATTAGATTAATAGCATCAAACATAGAATACTATTAGTCTACCCCCTTTCAAACAAAACCTTCATTCATAGGAATGACTATTCTACCAAAATAAAGCTAAAATAAGGTGTCCTCATATCTTTTTGTCTCTATAAAATATGTGTACAGAGAGAATAGAGGAAAGCACTTTAATAGTTGGCATACTGTAGAAAGGAAAAAATCTATACACCTGAGATGTCACTGTAAGTTGTAACAACACTCAAGGTGGCAGTTATTTCAAAGAAGCCCAAAAGAAAAAATCTGGTAAGAAATAATCAATTTTTAAGGAATTATTCACTTACAATTAAGTTATAAAAAAATTTGCACACCTTTTAATTGCAAAATATTCACATCCATTTTCATATCCTATTTCAATCAAAACAGTAACTTTCCACACTCTGCCCTTCAAGGTATAGAATACAGGATTAACATCTACCAAACTGCACTCTCAAAGAAAAGCAACAACTCATTAGCAGCATAAATGCGAAAAATGATGTCCATGCTTAAGAGCTTTTACAAATCTAACTTCATTGCTACTTCAGTTAAATCAAAACCAAAACAAACAAACAAGAGAAGTTGATGGACCTTACCTTCCTGGACTGCCTGAAAAGGGTTATTGCCATCAACAAATGTCACTGAAAATGTGATTTTCTCAGTCTGTAAGATCTCCTCATTCTGGTTGAGGTCACCAACTGCTGTGCGAAACACCTCATCATCCTTTTTGGCAGATTCATCAAAAATTGCTCCTAGAAAGAAATGAGTGTTGCCATTAAATGATAACACAAATATTCTGTCATGCCCTCTAGAAATATGCCAGAGACTTATGTATTGCAAAAGCATATACTTTCACTTAAAGTATGCATTTTGTTTATTACTGAAACACACTGTGCTGGAAGTAGTGTGATAACTGAGCAGGAATGTAGTTACTTCTTCCAAATGGAAATGATGAATAGTATGTCAAGGCATTATCACAGGGAGAGCATTGGGAAGACAATAAAGACAGTATAACAAGTAGGAAATGCTCTTGTAAGACAAAGTGACTAATTTATTGGATATCATTATAGCATGAAATCTTTAGGAACTCATAGATTGGCAATTATTTTCTGAATAATGTTGTTGTTATGTGCCATCGAGTCAGACCCGACTCATAGCGACTGCTTCTTGGGTTTCCGAGGCAGTATCACTATGGAAGTAGATTGCCCAACCTTCCTTCCAAGGAGTGGCTGGTGGGTTTGAACCACCAGACTTCTGGTAAGCAGGCAGGTGCCTTAAGCACTATGCTACCAAACCCTTTTTCTGAATAATATGAGGTACAATAAAGAAATTTTCTGAGAGCGCTTTCACAAAGTATGTGAAAAAAATGCAATGAACCCATTGTTATTATTTTATTCTTATCTTTGTATTTCCTCTCTTCCTTTTTTTTTTTTTTTAAATGAGCTTTCACTATCTTTTATAATGGTGCACTCAATGATATTTTTAGAAAAGAGAAATACAGTAGAATAGAGGTAATGGAGAGTAGAGGTAATGGAGAAAATTTCCTGAAGGACTAGCATAACTCCTAGTGGATAATAATGGTATTTTTCATCTATATATAATAGTGATGATATTAAGAGTTGTTGCTAACTTATTGAATGTTTGGTTCTCAGCAGTGTTTGATTAAGCAAAGACTAATTTCAAATTCTGACTCTCCTATTTTTAACTATATGACTTTAACCAAAGTAATATAATTATAAACTTTACATCTATCATCTCTAAAATCTAAGTATAGTAATACATATATGTAAGAATTACTGTTTGTGTTTAAATAAGATTATCTACATAAAAAGTACTTAAATTAATTTAACTAAAGAGTAAATTCTCAGTAAATGTTCTTGTTTTTCTTTTATTTATTATAATCCAAAGAGTATTTAGTATTTTCCATTTTTTTATAATACTGTATCACATTTACTATTAAAATAATTATATGATACATATCTAAATATTATTATATACATACATAGTTGTGGAAATTCAGACTTAATACAAGAAATATGCCTACAATCACCAGTCACACAACAGGGGCCAGAGCCCTTGCATTTTGGACTCTGAAACCCCAAAATCCTTGCTCTAAATCAGTGTGGAATATTGCCTTCCACAATTATACATATAAGAAATAATTTTTTAAATAGGTATTCTGACTTTACTGCAAATATGGGAACTCCTTCCTACTGACCATGCATGGTTTATTTATATTAATTCTGACTTTTCCCATTTTAAGAAGGCACACATTGTGAAATAGCTTTAAATTAGAAATAATTTTAATTACAAATATTGGGATCAGTGAATAGTTTGTCTTTTTGCATGAACTGAATGAAATTCCTCCTAAAAAAGAAAGAAACATATACTTCGAGCTCAATGACATAATGAAGAATGATTATATATGTACATAAAAGCATACAGATCCCTATTGTTGCTATGTGTGATTGAGTCAATTTTGACTAATCCAGATTCACAGAGACTATATATATGTTTACTGACTAATCATCATACCATGTGAATGTAAATAATACAAGATAAATAAAAAGTATAATGTTTCTTACTTTTATATAAAAATACATTATCACTTATATTTATTATATTATATGCACTCATTATAAAGAGGTAAACACAAGCTATGCATGTTTATGTGTATGTGTAAAATTACATATAAACATGTGTATTTGTATATATATAGGCCCGGGGCTGGGGTCTGCTTTTCACTTAAGGCAGCCCTTTATTAAGGCTGGGATCTGAGATAGGTGGGCCTGGGGCTTGGAGGCTGCTTTTCACTTGGGTGTGGCTCTATACTAATGCCAGGTCCTGAGGTAGGCAGACCTAGGGCTTGGAGGCTGCTTTTCATTGGGTGCTTGGCTCTCTATTAAGGCCAGGGACGGAAGTAGGCAGGCCCGGGACTTGGAGGTTGCTTTTCACTTGGGTGTGGCTCTATATTAAGGTCGTGGCCTGAGGTGGGGGAGGGCCCAAGGTTAGGGGGCTGATTTTCTCTTGGGTATGGCTCTTTATTAAGGCCGGGGCCTGAGGTAGATGGGCCCAAGGCTTGGAGGGTGCTTTTCACTTGCGGGTAGCTATACATTAAGGCTGGCACCTGAGGTAGGTAGGCCCAAGGCTTGGAGACTGCTTTTCACTTGGGTGTGGCTCTATATTAAGGCCAGAGCCCAAGGTAGGCGGGCCCAAGGTAAGCAGGCCCAAGGTTGGGGGCTGCTTTTTGCTAGGGTACAGCTGTTTATTAAGGCCGGAGCATGAGATAGGCAGGGCCGGGGCTTGGAGGCTGCTTTTTGCTTCAGTGTGGCTGTCTATTAAGGCTGGGACCAGAGGTAGGCAGGCCTGGGGCTTGGAGACTGCTTTTTGCTTGCCAGCATGTGGCTGTATAAAGGCCGGGACCTAAGGTGGGCAGGACGGGGCTTTCACCTAGGGGCGGTTTATATTCAGGCAGTGGCCTTAGGTAGGCAGGGCCAAAGCTTGGAGGCTGCTTTAGTTTGGGTGTGGCTCTATATTAAGTCCATGGCATAGTTGGGAGAGGTCAGGGCTTGGCGGCCAATTTTTACTAGGATGTAACTCTTTATTAAGGCAGGATCCTGAGGTAGACAGGCCCAAGAATTGGAGGCTGCTTTTCACTTGGGGATGGCTCTATATTAAGGTGGGTTCTGAGGTAGGTGGGCCCTAGTATGGGGCCTGCTTTTCACTTGGGGGTGGCTCTATTTTAAGGCCATTGCCTCAGGTAGTCAGATGCAGAGGGGCTAGGAACAACTAAGAGAGACAAACTTGTCTGTCAGTTTGTCATCCTCTGGTGGCTTACATGTTGCTGTGAGGCTGGAGGCTATGCCACTGTGTTGCAAGATTCCAGCAGGGTTGCCCATGGTGGACAGGTTTCAGTGGAGCTTCCGGACTTAGACAGACTCAGCAGAAGGAAGACGCCATCCACTTCTCAAAGAATTGGGCAGTAAAAACCTTATGAATAGTAGTGACACACTGTTTGATATATTACTGAAAAGCTTTATGAACAGCCCTGAAGCATTGTCCAACATAGTGCTGGAAGATAAGCCCAACAGGCCAGAAGGCACTCAAAATTTGACTGGGGAAGACTCCTCAGAGAAGAGATGACCTTAATGATATGGATAGGGTAAAGCTTTCGGGACTTCCATTGGCTCATGTGGCATGTCTCAAAATGAGTGGAAACAGATGCAAACATCCATTAATAATTGGAACATGGAATGTACAAAGTATGAATCTAGGAAAATTAGAAGTTGTCAGAAATGAAATGGAACATAAATGTCGATATCCTAGGCATCAGTGAACTGAAATAGATTGGTTTTGGCCATTTTGAATCAGACAACCATATGATCTACTATGTTGGTAATGACAAATTGAAGAGGAATGGTGTGGCAAATTCATTGTCACAAAAAGTGTTTCAAGATCTCTCCTGAAACATCAAGCTCAATTGGCATAACATACTATACAAAACATTGTTCCACATACTACTTTGGCAAGTAGCGACTGGGACCTTAAAAGCTAGGAAGCTGCCATCTAGATGCAACAACGGGTCTCTCCTCGTCAAGAAGAAAGAAGAAAACCAAAACTAATG